AAAATATTATTTAAAATCCAAAAAAATATTCCAGCATAATATACTGGAGTTCCAGCATAATATACTGAAGTTCTAGCATAATATGCTAGAAGTTCATACACAGGTGCTCCAGTCTTTGTTATATTATGCTGGAACTTTCCGTGTATTGAAATTCCAGCATAATATGTTGGAAGTTTGTGCATCAATCTCCAGTATATTATACTGGAAGTTTCCGTGTTGCAGCAAAATAATGGCTATTTTTCATTGACTTGGCAAACGCTGACTATTTTTCAATTATCAGTCCGAAAACTGATTAGCACGTACTATTTTCATGTGGAAAGCTAGTACGTGAGAGAACAAAGAAAAACTAAGAGAAGAAGCCCTACACAAAATAAAAAAGTATATTCAATTGTTTAATCCAAAGCCTTATTTCTTCTCAAAATTTGACTTAGTTCTTTTTTGGCAAAATGGCTTCCTGGCCACTTAAACTTGCATCAGTTTGTAAAGCCAATATATGAACTTTTGAGTTTTCCATTTGAATACCTTTACTTGAAAAAATGGCTACTAATAAATACGTGTGATGGTGCGTGTTGTTCAATTGCTGCTGACATGGATTTAATTTAATATTTTATATAGTCACATCATCCATTCATTCACATTTTGTTGATACCTGTATGTTCAAGGTCCCAATTTGTGGACCCTGTCCTTTTCCAAAATTAATTTATTAAATTTCTATTTTTTCTTCTCTTTTCCTTCTTCACGAACTGTAAACAAAAGCTCCGATAATGGAGACTGTAAATATAAGCTTCGATAATGGAGACTGAAGTTCAATCGAGTTCTGATATACCAGCCTAAATAATAAGTTTCCTGATAACCTTGAGAAATCTTTCTTTGAAGCCAATAACAATCTATGTCTTGAACATTCAAAGTCATCCTTCATCTGCCTCTTGCATCTCATCTTCCTCAATGCCACTGCCCATCTGCATAGCGCCAGAACCATCGGCTTCCAGCACAACATCATCCTCCTCTTCATCATCAAGATCACTCTCTTCATCTTCTTCTTCGTCTTCATTATCCTCAAACTCAACTGCTACACCAACATCATAATCAAGAGCTTCATCGCTATCATCGCGACCATCTAATTGGTAGTTAGTAATGAGTTGCCCATTTGAACCAACTTATCAAACACCTGGTCCGAAATAGGGTTTAACAGCTTTTTAATTTCCAATTTCTTTTCAGGGTTCTTAAAGTTGCCGTCTGTTAACACGACCAATATCTCATCAATAGCCCCACTCACAATACTAAAGGGATGTCCACCAATTTACTGTTGAATAAGACTGTAAACATAAGCTCCGATTTTACTTCCCATAGTTATTGGAGTTTGTTGTTGATATCTTGGAAGGAGTTACGCGAGTACGTTGGGGTGTGCTAAGGTTCTGAGCTTTTTCCTTTGTTTGGGTTGTGTTCTATGTTTTGCTAGAAGTGGCTATGGTAGAATAGAAGGGGGAGGGGGAAAGGGGAGGGGGAAGTTTGGCAGGGAAGACGAGGGGAAAATAGAAGGGAAAGGGAAAGGTCTTTTTTTATTTTTTAATAAAAATAATGACTATCCACGCGTATTTGTAGCGTGATATGCACACAATTTAGCCATGCCAGTTGTGCCGCTTCCACATAGGCATAGTCAACGGTCAAATGTATTTATTAGTATTTATTGCATCAAGTTGGAATGTTCAAATGGGAAAAGTGCAAGTTCATATATTGGCTTTTAAAACTGATGCAAGTTTAAGTGGCAAGAAGCCATTTCTCCTTCTTTTTTTAACGCTTAATTTCCAACATCGGTGAGGTCTCAAGATAGGCCAAATACCCATAACTTAGACACGTTTTATAAGATCGACATATAAACTTACAAAGTGATCGGATAGACATTTGAACTCATCTTAGGTGTGATTTTTAAACACTTAAGTCCATCCTGAGCGCACGAGCCCTTTTTAAAGTTATTGAGTCGGAAAATAACGGTGATAAAAACTTTCTTTATATCACATTCCCACATTATATTCCTACCCTCATTCTTCTTCATCGCTGAAAACACCACTGAACCAACTCGAGTCCGGAGATCAGAGGCGGAGTCAGGATTTCAAATTTATGGGTTCGGGATTCTAATCGTTTAAGTTACTGAGTTCTAACTTAATAATTTATACATATTCAATAAAAAATTTAAGACAAATACAGGGTTCGAACCAAAGCTACTGGGTTCGGCTGAACCCGTTGGCGGCACTCTAGCTCCGCCTCTGCCCGAGATAATGGCCCATTCTCTACAAAGCTACTGGGTTCGGCCGAACCATAGACTTTCCCATTATGTACATCCCTACTAATTAAGTATGCTCGAATATAATCAAATAGGACTTTAACGGGTTGTAATGTTGGCTAGGGGACGGATAGAAGAATTATATAATAGTGACTTCTTCCCTAAGCACTTTGCAATTTTAGACTTCATCACCCATTATTTTCTACTCTTCATTTTATTTTTAAGCTCTCTCTTCATCTATTGTTTCACAAGTATTTCCCTCATATCAAGAACGTTTCATTTTTTTTTTCAAAATATTTTTTTTTTCATGTAACATTCTTTTCAAGAAGGTCTTTTCATCACCTTTCAGCCATCATTAGTCACCATTTTTCACTTAACCATCTCATTCTTCAAAATTTATCAATTAATATTATGGTCTAAGCAACAATGCTAAAGGAAGCAGGGTGCAACAACTAGGGATTCAACAAAAGGATCAAGGCAAAAATACGGCTTCCAAATAAAAGGCTACAGGCTCAAAGGGCTAACTAGTGGTATAATATCTGAAAAGGCTAAAATTCACAAAATATATCAAAAAAAGCCTATTATCATCTTCTAAATAGAGCAACACTTTTATTTCGCTTCAATAACTTGCAGGGCAAGTTCTAGACTAAGATGCATAATATGGCATATGCAAGAAATCCTCACCACAAATGGCACAAGTATCACTCAAGATAGATCAATTCTACTCTATGACAGACAGGGTCATAGCAAATGACAAAATAAGAATAAGCTATATACATAGTCACAACCCTGAGCTTAGGCGTCAAATGTTTGCTATTTTATTCATTACTCAAGCACTCAGAGGAAAGTACTACTCAAACTCAGGCCTAAATATGCTAGTACCAAACAAGTTACAAAGCTTTTTCTTCTCCCTCTTTTTCTACTCCTAAAAAAAATCTAATCCTAAAAATAAAAAATAAAAAAAAGATTACCCAGTTCAAGTTACATCCCCTGGAAAAGAACCGATGCACAAAGAAAAACCAAGGGGGATTATTACCTAACTAAAACTAACTAGAACAAAAAGAAAATATTTTTAGGCTTTTTTATTTTATTGGACCTTAATCCCTCGAGAAAGCTGTCCACAAAATCCACCATCAGAAAAAGTCCCAATTTTCTGATTTTTTTTTTTTTACATAAAAGTTAGTATACTAAGAAAGAGTACTACAATTAAACTAGGATCGCACGGAAATTGCCCAAATAATCTCCTCACCCCACACTTAAAATTGTGCAATATCCCCAATGCACACTGAAAATAACAAAAGGGTAAAAGAGACTCCCTGGTAGGCCAAAGGCCGAAGAATTAGTAGCTCACGGAATACTCAGACTTCTCCCAGGTATGATTCTTTTGTGCGGGTACCTCACACTTAGTTTTAACCACCTGCTTGATTTTTCACATGCCTATTGGCTTTGATTCCATGCTCCTATTCCTACAAAACACTAAAATAACACTAATGAAAATAACACAAAAAAAATAAAATAAACAAAAAGAAAAAGAAAAAAAAATAGAATTGGGTTGCCTCCCAACAAGCGCCTTATTTAACGTCGCGGCACGACATCATCACTTTCACCACATTTCCTTCCACTTTGATTGTGCCCCCAATTTTGCATCAATTTTTCTGTCACGTTCCTGGGGCGGCAGTATAAAAATAAAGGAACCAAACAATAGATATCGCATCTTGCACTTCTTGGCCCTTAAGTGAGGAATGTCGTTTTGCCTCCTTGGTATGGCAAATTTCAGAATATAAAACTTTGTTCCTCATCCATTGACTCCTTCATATGCTCGACTGGATCAATTCTCATGTCACCAGCCAACCACAATGTTGAAAAGTGTTTAGAATGAGGTCCAATACGCTCCAACTCCAAAATTGCATTATTTTTGACATTCTCAATTTTGCACTCTTCGTCAACATTGGCATCATTAATAATATTTTGGTTTAATTGTTGGAATTCCTCTTTCCGCTCCATAAGTTGGTCAGTATCTACGACAATTGGTTGTAGGGCATTCGACGCCTCAACCTTTTTATTCAATTGAGTCTGCAGGTCATGGATATCTGAGCCAAATTGGTCTATCTCTTACTTGAGCTCAGTTCTTCCTTCTATTAGTTGTTCTTCTATATTTGAAAGACCATCACGGAGAAACTCTTGAGATTTTATCAGTTGAGCTTGTTCCTCTAGCCAAGATTGGCTCACTATATCTGCTTCTTCAAAATTTTCTTTTTGCTGGTACTCGCTCTCTTCATTTAGTTCTTCCATATTGGCCATTATTCTTGTGATTGTTGCCCTCATTCTTTTCATATCTTTATTGAGTTTATCATGTTGCTTTGCTACTTGCCTCAAAATATCCCTAATATATGCATCAGGTTTCATCTCCTGCACTTCATTATCCCTATCAAACTCACAAATTTTATTAGAAACATCATAATAAGAGTTCTGAGAAGGATAATAAGAATTAAGACAACCATCCCGATGACCACCTTGACAACCACACACATTACAAAAGTTCCATCCATATGATTGAGATTCACAATTTTGCCACAAGTGTGGTCCCCCATAATACGGACAAGGATCACCATAATAAGAATAACCAATATTTGACCAATTATCATTCCAAGATGTCATATCAACAAAGATACTAAATATTAAACTAAGATAAAAATAATATATATAAAAAAAAAACTTAAGTAGACAAAAAGTAAAAATATAATCTAGTAGACTAGTTAATTTCTAAGTCCCCGGCAACGGCGCCAAAAACTCGTTGTTCCCAAACTCACACGCAAGTATACGTGGTCAACAAGTAATATAGGATTGTAAGTCCAGATATCGACCCACAGAGACTTGTGATTAACTATCAACTAAATTAAACCAAACAATTAATCTATTCAAGCGAGTCTTATTGTATGAATATTTAACTAAAATTAATCTAAAGTAATAACTTAAGAGATTAAAGAAAACAACGGCAAGCTTAAAGATGAATTCAATGGGAGAAATATTCTAGAGCTATGGGTTAGTTAACAATCCTGTTAAGTTTTCTACCTAAATTGTCTAATTAATTTATCTGATTTATTGGTTGACAGGGTTAATATTGCTCGTAACCTTCTCCCGAAGTACAACTCGCATATTCAAGCTAATCAAACGCCTATATTCCTATGGAATTAGAATTAACAAGAACACATTTATAATTTCCGTATAGTAACCAAGTAAGGCGATTAAGTATATTTCTATCCTAACCGCAAATCTGCCCCCTCCCCCAGAGTTAAGATCTTACTCTACTCAATCTTATATGCAATCTAGAATTCTCTATCCCGAGTTCATTCCTAGATTCATAGATAGTATTCAATTGGTGATCAAACGATCAAATAATTAAGCGCAAGGTTGAATAAATAAACCAATATAATAAAATAATAAGTAATATTCAAGTTTCAAACTACAACGTTCATGTAGCACTCAAAACTCTAGAACTAAAAAACTATGAAATTAAAGGAAGAGAAGAGAAGAAAAACTAATTAGAAGCCTCCTCCAAGCGTGGTTTGTGTTCCTCCACGTGAATTCTCCTTCAAAATATGTTAGATCTCCCACAAATTAGATTTAAGAACCCTTTTATATAAATTAAGACCGTATAAGGCCGAAATAACTTTGTCCCAGACAAATTGGAAAAACCCGCGCAACACAGCGTCCAGGCTAGCGCCAAGCGCTGGTCCTGGCGCTGAAGGCAGTAACGTTTTGCCTTTTGAATTCCTTTGCTGCGTTTCTTCAGCAATTGTATGCTATCATGTTTCCTTTTTTTTGTCCTCCACTTGGGGGCACAAATACCAAATGGTATCCCCCATCCTTATATTATTATTTTTCTGTATTTTATTTAATTTTACTTCAAATCTCTTGATTTTTATACTGCTTTATTCTTATAAGGTTAAAATATAATATTAAGCATAAAATAATATATCTAATACTTAAATGACGATTAACAGTATTAGAATATGAAATAACAATAGGTAAATATATGCATTTTTGGCCGAATATTAATAGAATTTAGTGGAACTTGATTCATGCACTTCAAATCATATTATTTATCATAAGTAATAAACGGAAATAATAATAGTTCGATATTAATCAATCATTTTTTATTAATACAAACACTTAAAAAGACAAATATCACGTACACTTGTTTTATTACATGCATCGAAATCGAATGCAAATTCGTATTTTCTTATTTGGACGCTTTTATTCATGGGGATGATCATGTTATTGTCTTACCTCTTGCATTTGAGCTGACTGACAATGGTTTTAGTTTTATGAATTAGCAAACACATCACGACTAATTCACATCATTATCCTTGAATTAGTTCAAGAATGAGACTGTCAATGATTATGTGAAATAAAGAATAAATTAAGGAGAAAGCCTTTATCTATAAGGTATGCATAGGGAGCCATTTATATGTAAGCGATCCACTCTAGGGGTGTACAAATCGAACCGGAAAACCGCACCAAACCGAAAAGTCAAACCAAATCGAAAAAATCCGACTAGATTTGGTTTGATTTTGTTTGGTATTGAGTAAAAAAAATGAACCAAACCGACATATAAATATATAATTTTTATATATACTTTTAAGATTTTATATAGAATTTTCTTTAAAAAAATATCAAGAAATATTTGGCATTCTCTTATGGGATATAATATTTAATAAAATATGAAGTGCTCCATATTTATTAACCTTAAATAATGGGTTATGTGATCACTTTCTTATCAAGTGTTACTGAAACGCGTCAATCTCTTTGTTCTTCCATATTCATATGTCAAGATCTATTAAATTCTTATATCTTTTTCAAATTTGAAGCGGTTATTATTATTTAGGTATCATATTGATTCGTATGTTGAATTACTAAATTCGGTTAACTTTGAAAGTGTACATCAACGAAAAATTATTGTCAGACGACTAAAAAAAATTGATTACCATGTATTACTAAGTAGATTCTCCCATAAAAATACTTAATAGATAATATATTTGTCCATTTTCTAAATTCTTACTAAACATATATTTACTTATAGAAAATTTAATAAAATAAGATTGAAATAATATTTAAGTAATAGAAAATCCAAAAAAAATCGTCAAAACCGAACCAATCCAAACCGATATAGTTGGTTTGGTTTGGTTTTGATAAAATCGAATCAATCCGGTCCATGTACACCCCTAATCCACTCAATATGAGCACGTTAAATGCAGTATATTTATTGATTTGACGAAAATATATGAATACTAATACATTTTTCCCGTTATGTATCAGGAAGATATATAGATTCCTTAATTCTAACCATGTGTAAAGCTTATAAGGTTTCTTAAGTTTATCTTCTTAAATATTTCATAAAAGCGATTAACTTGATTTTTTCCATTGAGCTTCTTGATACGATTAAATAGAAGAATTAAGACTACCGAAATATATTAACCGTTTTTCAATTATATACTCCATTATTCTTTATACCTCTTGATAGGGGTGTACAAATCGAACCGGAAAATCGCACCACAAAAAGTCAAAACAAGCTGATTAAAAAACCCAATGAAGTTTGGTTTGATTTGGTTTGGTGTTGAGTAAAAACAGTCAAACCAAACCGACATATAAATATATAATTTTATATATACTTTTAAAACTTTATATAGAATTTTCTTTAAAAAATTGTCACGCCCCAAAAACCGAGGAGCGCACTCAACCGAGTAAACCCGACTGAGCAAGCCTGCTAGGTTTCATTCCACCCAAACTAATTCATGAATAAATAGGAGATGGACTCCATTAATCATACTTTGTAAGTATTTCATTAACAACTTTCATTTTATTTTCATTAGCAGCTTAATTCATAATTATCAAAAATATTACAAGTTTTAAAAATCTTTATCAAATATCAAGATTTCTAACTCAACTCCCCATTATCAAACACCATCCATAACCTGTCTACGGAGTCTCTAAATACAACTGAAAGGTAATATGAAAATGTCGGCAACAAGGCTCCGACTATACCTCAAAATACAAAGTACATGATAAACAATTGATACAAGACCCCGAAATGAAGTGTGGCTCATCATGTCAGCTGAAAGGAAGATGCGTTACTAGCTGCGACCACCATTGCCTGCTATGGAACCCCCTACATCCATTTAAAGACGTAGCGCCCCCAGTAAAAGGGACGCTAGTGCCATCGAATAGCACTAGTATGTATAACTAAACGTCATCTTATTAGAAAGAACAACCATACAAGAACAAAAAAATCATAAGTATTCAACAAAAGCTTTAAACAATCACCACATCATCAAATAAATGGAATCATATAGCTTTCACATAATTTCCATAGCTTTAGTATGGGGCATTTAATACTGTTCATCATCATTCACAATACAACCGCTTTCTTGAGCGGAGTCCAATCACGACCCGATCGGCTAGGTTGCCTCATTTGAGACATGTACCTCAATCACAATCTCATTCTCACTTTTCAGAATTCAATATCAGCACAATACCACCATGTGTGCGGCATGTCGTCCAATCACGGCCCGATCGGCTAGGCCGCCTTACCAAGGAGTTGTTACTTTATCATTAATCATCTCATTTCAATCTATATTTCACATATATCAATTCATAGGCACTTAGGGCCACAATTATCACATCATACTTGGCATTAGGCCACATTTCATAACTCACATTCCACATCACTTTCACTTTCAACATCAAACTTGCAATGCAATTCAAGTTGTAAGCATAGAGAGTAATTCTCATGATTCTGCATAATAATCACAATTTAAACTTGACTTAAAATCTAGATAATTTAGCATATAGTTCACATTCTTCACATATCCCCAATTTACCAAGAATAGCACATTGAACACGTTAAGACATACCTTTCACATATATTCTTGCAACACCAAATCCTTTGAAATAACAAATACTACGTAAATTAAATTCCGGACTTACAACATATGCGGGGGCAC